TATTCTAACATGTTGGATTTAAACACAAATCAAAAAAAATTTATTTTGAACTTTTTAAATATTTTATATAAAGCCTATTGATTAGGGTTTTATATCAAAGACGTAAATTCTAACCCAGAGCGTCTAAAGTAGAATAAACTATTGTTAAACATTGAACATCTTTAAAAAAATCATGTAGGCCTTTACGCATAACATATTAATATGTGTTATAAAATTTAAATCGTATGATAAAATGGATGATCATCTTGGAATACACCAGATATAACTGCTATAAGGCTAATTAAGACATAGATACTTTAACTACTTGAGATCGATCAACCAAATTACCCAATTTACTAATTACTAATTAAAGCTGATTTTCTAAGCTAATCAATTAATAAAAATATCGTCCTAAATGCCAAACACTTTTAATGACTGAACAAACAGTATCAATTTAAAAGTTTAAGTTAACGTTTTCAGATAAAACTAAACTAAATTTGAAAGTTGTGGTTGGATTAATTTATTTAATAATTTAGGTAACATACTTAGTTTAAAGATAGATATCATGGCGCGACCTTGTGTGCTGTTTTTTTAAATATTTATTTAAATACATTTTGGTTAGCTATTTACTTTTTTATACATAATATAATATAATTTATGCATTTTTTTTATGGGTTTGAATATATTTTTAGGTTAAATTATGATTCTTTATGTCTAATTGAATTAGTATACAATTTATAGTATATATAATATACTATAAAATTATAATAGTCTATAAAATGAATAGTCAATGACAACTTTTTTCTTTATCTCAAAAAATAAGTAGTGATAAATAAAATACTTTAGTATTTTTGTATTTTTACAAAAAAAATTAAACATAAAATGAGATTATTATTTTCTAGTTATAAACTTTAAGACAATTAAACAAATTTTAATAACTATACTACACATATTTTACAATAAAGTCATCTTTGTGTTTGAATCAAATACAATTAATTTTACATTCAGTTGAAGTATGATTTTATTCCAAAAATTTTTGTATATACAGTTAAAAAACTCTAAGAATAGCTTACATTTATAACTTTTGTTTGTGGGAAAAAGGATTAACAAAATTTGATCAAATTTTCAACATAACACTTTATTTCTTTGAAAATAATCAAACATTTTGGAAAAACTATTTAATTTTAAATTAAAAAAATTTGAAGTCAACACTCTTACTAAATTTGTTTAAATGATCTTAAGAAATTAAATGTGTGAATTCATATATTTTATATTATATTTTAATTAGATCTGTTTATTTATATAATTATATTGATCAAGATGAATAAGTATACTTAAATTATATAAATATAATTAAATGATAATTATAAAATATAATTTATTTCCTATATTATTATTATTAATATTAATAAACAATTATGGATACTATGTATTATTTGTATTAATCCTTTATTCGTATTTATTTTTATTAATAATGAAATAAGTAAATTGTCCATAGTAAATAATTATTAAGAACTTAACATGCTATAGAGGATAATGGACCTTTTTCACATGTTAGAGATGTTAACAAATTATTCTTCATTAGGCAAATGATGGACAGTCGGATATTATGGCCGATATTATTGCACCAGAGATGAGACACCACCAATGAGAAAATCACAAAAAAAAGTCATGTTGGCACCCACTAGATCGAACCCGGGACCTCATACACCGAAACGTAAGTTTCTACCCACTAGGCCAAGTCAATCCCTTAAATTTATTTATATAAATATATAATTAAATATACATATAATATAATAGTTATAATTTTAATTAATAAAGCATATTAATGTAAATAAAAATAAATATTTTCTATACAGAGTGATAGGTTTACCATGAACCACTCGATTTCTCGCAAAATAAATATTGCTTAATAAATTAGAGTTATTAATAATAATAAATTGTTAATAACTCTTATAGTTAAAAAATTGTTGTCGACCAGTCATTTTCTTAATTAGATTATATCCTATTTTATAAGCTATTTAAATATGTATGTTGCCACTTAAAAAAATTAAGTTGACACATCTTTAAGTTATAAGGGTTGATTCTAAAAAGTAATTATTATCTGATAAATCAAGAATTATATGTAACTAAAATAAATCAAATTTCATTTTCCCAATATTGTATTTGTTTTTTGTAATCAAGTGGTTTATGATACACCGATCACTCCGTATGCAATTTTATTAATAAATAATAATATTAAGTAATAAAATATATTTTATACTATAATTGAACACTGTATTTCCGAAAATTAAAGTAATGTTATTTAAAATCCATTTAATAATTTTAATTGGGCATAAAACAATTTAATAAAACCATAATGGATGCAATTTTCACATAATATCCTCATAACGTCTAATCAAAAACTTACATAAATTATATATAAGTATATAATCTAGAACATATTGTAAAATTTTTCATTTGAATATAATAAAAATATCATTTTCTGACACATAATAAAAACACAATTTTTATATGTGTATCACAAATTCATATTTTTGTGATAAATTAGCTTCTGAAAAAAGCCATATTTTATTTTTTTATAAAATAGTTTATTGAGTGCTAATTTTTATTAATTTATTCCATAAATGAGAAATTCGAGGACGAGAATCCCAGAACATTATTGTAGGTGTATCTTATAATAGCATGACGATTTGTTTAGTATATGAAGTTTTAAATCACTGATAAGCCGTTTCTTAGATTGAAAGTGTTTTTAAAATTTCAAGTTTTTCAGTCATATTTTTAAAAAAATAATTTTAACCACTCAAACAAGAACTTTTAGAATCGAAAAATAAATCATAATTCTAAGAAATTATAAAGTTTGATTGATATGTGAATTTTTTTTTATTTTAACTTTTTATATAATAAAAATAGCTGTATGTTTAATATTCATAGCAACTTAACTATGTAAAGTTTTCAAAAATAACCTTTAGCCTAAAGAATCAATAATCTAATAGTAGAGAACTGAGAAGCGATACACTTAACATAGAATCGGTAACAAAAGGTGGGATGATTCAACTGATAAACTCATAATAAAGTTATACAACATTTCTTCCTGAACCCAAGCCGACAGACGTGATCCCGTATTACGTTTAAATATCATTAGCACTCGAGGCGTTCGTTCTTTCCGGCACTTTCATCCCTTTGATATTGGTCTCTCAAAATCGACAATATGGTTATCGAGAGTTCAACGCATAGAAGAAATAGCATTATTATTCGACACTCGTTGTGACGGCGAGAGAAAGTTATACTATCTTCTTCTTCAGAAACGCGTTGAGTATATATGACGTATAAATAATGATAGGTATGTATGTGTATTTCTAAAATTTTTTAAATTCCACATTAAACCAGCTATTTATTATCCTTACTTGTATGTACTATTAAATTCACGCATTTAATAAGGAAATCTATTTATACTCTCGATTTTTTAGCATCTTGAGACTAGTTAAGTTGGTTATGTCAAAGAATATTGTTTTATTTTGATATTGATCATTTTAAGAAAAATAGAAAATATATGATGAATGACGTTCTAGTGTTACAACTAATTTATAAAATAAAGGCTGTACCTGTTAGCACTTAAGAAAATCTAATCTTATTTGAAATGAGATTCTGACTCTATGGGTCGTACTGATTATATGTACTTAGTGATAATAAATAGCTGATACTCAAGAAACTAAAGTTAAATTAAATATATAGATAAATTGAGATATTTTTATAATAATTAAAATACTTTATGTCATAAAAAATTAAGTATGATATATTTATAATACTTATAGATGTATACATAAATAACTTTAATTTTGATCTAAAGTTTCGAACTCGTTGCAAAGTTTATTCTTCCTATTTGGGCACATATGGGAGTACAAGTGGTGCTTAGCTTTCCTAAGCCTTAGATTTGTACCACAAGCTATGATACACCAAATGTTCAAAAAGTTTTATTTTTCATTATTGAGAATGAGTATTCCATTTTGTATTTTTAATTTATTCACAAGTTTAATATAAAATTAATTTGTGATACTGTAGAAAACATTACTTTTAATGCCTTAAAAATCGTCATTTCTTTTTTATATTATACATATTTGAACTATGAAATTGGATCTACTATGTTTCATAGGATTAGAGATTGGGGAAGTGCTTTGCCCACAGAGTTACCTTGGAATCAATTAGCTTAGCACCCTCAAGTTTTTGACTGAATGCAAGCCTAGGATTCTCCCAAAAAAGCACAATAGAGAAGATAGATCGAAAATAAGTATGACATGGTTACTAATTATATGTAGTAACGGTGTAAAGTCGTGAGTATTTATCGCGGTTATTGTTCATTACTTGAAGTAAATACTGTATTTGTTATTTTCGTATTAACTCCTCCATTAATGTAACCTATCTTTCAGCTATATCATTTAATATATTTATATTATTAACAAGGATTGTTGATACCTTAAATTTTTCAAAAGTGTTCCATAATAATGGTTCAATGGTGAGAGTCAAATTAGTGTCTATATAAAAGTTCTGGAAAAATTGTATTGAATCACAAATTCAATCTTCTAGATTTTTATATAATATCCTAGTAGTTTCTTTTATTCTGACAAATATCTACTGAGTGTATCATCATCTGCCTGAATTTTAAAAGCACCTATCATTTTTCTTTTAATATCAAATGGAACGTGTGAATTAAAAAAATAATAATACCGTGGTTTCTGGCAATACTATAATTGATTACAAATTTTTTAAATTGGGATTTCTGATATATTTTTATCTATTAACTGATATTTAATCAAATCTTCTAAAAAGTTTAAATCTTGGTAATGTGCAACAGACATGGAAAATAGTATCAGGCTGGTCAAACCCGTGTTCACGTATTAATTCCTGGAACTTTTAGTAATTGACTTTCACCATTATATGAAGCAATAATAGGAGGTCTATCAAAATTTCTTTGTACTTTTAATGAAGTTTAAAGCTTAATATTTCAATGAATAATAATGGAATCTTTAATATTTATCCAATAATCTTGACGGATTTTTTCAGCGCGTATTTTAAGGGAACACATACGTGAGTTTTGAATTAAGAATTTATTTATAATTGACTTTTCAACATCCTCTACTAATGCTTCTGTTGTTGATATGAATACATGAACTTCATCTCTGTCACATATTTTGCATTTATGGAAAGCAGCAACAAGTTTTGACGTAATGAAATCAATTATTCCTTTAGTTGGCTATTAAACGCACAGTTTAGATAAACCAGGTTTGTTAAATTCATCTTAATTATGACTTACTTTTCTGATAATGGTGAGCCCATTTCTGCTTGTGCTGCTTCAATAAATACTTGATTATTAAATTATAATTTTGAAATAATATTCAACTTACTAGGTGACTCAAATGACTAGGTACTCGTCATAACTTCTTTTTTATCTTTCTTCAAGCGTTTTTGATTTCTTTTCGATCCTTTTTTGGAACTTTAAAATCTACTTCTAACATAATTCCAGGGCGTCCTTTTACCTTTACATTAATATGAACTCTCTATCTTCTTGTGATAACATTAAGTTAACGACGCAAAATTGAGTGATGTTAAACAAATCATCTAATTTTAAGCTCAATTATTCGTTTTTATTTCAGTATCTGATTTTCTTTATTGCAACTTTTGTGAATTTCTCCATTCATCTTATTTTGAAAGATTTTTATGTAATACTGTTAGATACTAATAGAAATACGCATATTTTGCAGAGAACACTGACATCTTTATTCCTAATTTAGAGCTATCAAGTATGTTCAGTTTTACATGATGTATTAAAAAGAAATACAGATAGTACTTGTTTTATTGACGGTAATTTAATACCAATAAATTTAGTCTCATCAATAACGTATTAAAAATATGAATCGATCTTTATGTAAAGTTTTCTATGGAGCCATTTAAAATTTTATCAAAAAAAGAAAAAAATGAGATAATATAGAAATTATTGTTAACATTAAAATGCATACGATTTTAAATGAACATAAAGTTTTAGTAGAACTAATAAAAAAAAATGTGAAATATGTGTAGTTTGGACAAATAATATAAAAGTTGATAAAAAATTTATCACATTTAATTAAATTTTTTTGTAAATTTTAAGTGAATTTTTAAATAATAGAAATTGTACAAATATACAAATTATTAAATTTAACAGATTTGCATCATAGTATTTTTGATGACAGTGATGTTAATCATCGTCGAATATCATCCATACTTGTCTAAACTATGTCGAAATTACATTGTGGTGGGTTCATTTATTTTTATTAGAGACAAATATTAAACTCTTGCTTTTAACACAATCCAAAATCGCATAAATTATTTAAAAAAAAGTAACGTAAACTATTTGATAGAATAGGTTATTAAAAATATCAGAACACGGCGAGATACTTGTATAGTGTTTATGTTTCCCATTTGTGCAACTAAAATATACTAACTAACAACTTAAATTTGTGTTGGTATTTATTTTACTTAAATGTTGTGTTAAATCATTGAACCAAAATTTTTTAAGTCTACTGTGATATACGCATTTCATAGAACAAAATATCTGATTATAACATCCGAATTGCCAGACCTATCACATCTTTCAGCATAGAAATATAGAAAAAACATATTTTTCAAATTTTCTTGATATATACAAGGCAGGAAATTTTCAATACCAAAAAATCTTACATGAAATATTCTAAATTGAAAATCCTATATACAAAAAATTAATTATTTTAAATTATTATTGATGATAAGTATTGATATTGAATAGATGAATAAATTGACACGAAAACATTAATCATAATGATTGTTTAAAATTAATAACAAATCGAAATATTTTAATTTTTAGTATTTAGTTAGTTTCAAAAGTTAATCTTTAAACTAAAATTTTAAAATAAAAAAGCGAAAGCGCTTATGTATTTATTTTTATCACTGAAAGTTTTTTGTCACCTTTATGTACAATATAATAGTTTCAGAGAATGAAATTTCTGTAGAAACATAAAAAATCTTTTTTATAACGATGTTGTATTATACCGTATTTTTTTGACAGCATGCCCTGTTTACTTTAGTATTTTCCTAGAGTCTGTAAACATTTTACCTTACTAAAATGTTCTTGACATTTTCTCGTAGTATCCATAAGTCACTATTTTGAAATGTAAGCTTATGAAATTGAAAATAACTTCAATAGATTACATATTAATTCCTCGGATGTAAGCATCCAGTAATTATTAACTACATTATACAAATTCAAAAAGTGAAATATAAAAAAAATAAATATATAATATTCTCCGAGTAGCCATATTAAAGATATTTAAATAAATTATAATAAATAATTATTATTGTTAATTATTACTAATATTTCATATACATATTCAATACATGAAATTGATTTTTTTTTTTAATATTTTACTGCGAAATATTTACAATTTATATCCTCCATAATTAGAATAAAAAGAAAAAATATATAGTAAACATCTCAATAAAATGTTTCATGTTTTAATTTTTCATTATTTTCGTGTACAAATTTAAAGAGAAACTTTAGTATTAAGACAGCATTATAAACTATAAATCATAGTTTTAATATTAGTGCAAAAAAGTTTTAGTAAATTGGCTACAAAGACATTTAAACTTTTTTACACGACAACAGTTTATAATTATAATTATGGTTAAGCTATTTTTCTTGTAATTTCAGAAAAATTTGGTTTTTATTATTTATATCATAATTAAATTATGACATAAACTAACTTTTGAACTTTCTATTGTATACAGGAACTTGAAAATAAAATAATTTAATAAACAATAAAAAAAACACTTGCGTTTTCTAAATTATAAATTTGACAATTTAATATTACTATAATAATTTAAAATTTTAAATAAATGTTTACAATATAAATAGGGAAAATGTATGCCCATTTTACAGACATAAAAATAATTATAAAATTACCTTAACTTGTTTTTATGCTTAAAACAGTTAAAAATTAGTAATTTTATAAAAATAAGGGATAACAGAAAATTTATGGTTAGTGTTTGTAAAATCGTATTTTCTGATAAAAGGCAGTCCCTTTTCTATAATGGCTTTTGATAATATTGCGTATTACCAGAAGTTTAGTAGTTTCTGTACGGCCGACTAAAGGTCAGTGATTAAACGAAGAGGTGCTAGTCAAAGCACGTAAAACAAGTTAATCAAAATTTGACCTGTGCTTGAAAGAAGACATTATAATCATTCTAATTATTGTAAGCATCGAATCTCATTTTTTATGTGCATTATACATATTTATTTAAATTGAATATAGAACCCTTATAATATACATAAAGCATGTATTCGATAAAACCATTTATATGTTCATGAGGTTGGTTTTTCATGATATATTGTTTGGTAAGTGAACCTTTTTCATATTGATCTGTAGGCTGTTATATCATCAAAGGTATCAAAGAACTATTCTTTGCCTTTTAGCACTAAATGGTATTAGGTCACCTTTATATAAAAAATATTACAAAAAATCCAATAAGAAGTCTATACTATAATTTTTAATAATTTGATGTAATTCTTAAAAGTTTATTATTTTTATTTAGCATTAAAAATTATAAATCTATTGTGAACTATAAATTCATTATATTTTAATCTAATTAATAGACGAATGTATAAAAAATATTATAAATTGAAAATTTAAAATATATTTTCATAAATTATACAAAATTGTTTTAAATAAGTAATTGCGTAATATAGCGTGGTCTGCATAAAACAAATGAATATAAGTAACACTATAGTCTAAAAAACATGTGTTATTTTGTTTAACAGACTTAGATGAAATTCAAATAGCCTATTTTATTTTATCTACTTGTATTCCGTTTATTTTAAATTTACAAAAAATTATTGCGTAATGTTTTAAATTGGTAAACTAATTAAAAACAAAAAATATGCTATGCAAGAAGAAAAATGAATATATTAAATTTAAATTCAACAATAATCTTCATTTAAAAACAATTTATAATAATTTTGTAATATCTGAATGTTTCAAAAGTGATTTTATATTTTATTATTATTATTTTTATTTTTTAGTCATATTTAACGTTCTCTAATAGCTATTGCCTATAGCAAAGAGGGCGAGACAACCTACACATCTCAGCTCATATAAAAATACATATATGTATTTCAATTTCATTCATGATATGGATATGTATAGATTACAGGTTATTATATAGATATATATTCATAAATTTCTTCACATAGTACACATAGTACATAACTGTTTCAATTGAAATACATAAAAACTAGGTGATATTACCAAAATTAATTAAAACTAAGATATTATTTTGTTGATATTGTATTGATATCTGTCCATAAACAATCATAATATTTTTTATAGCATCCCTATGAGTGTTAATCTTTAAATTCAAATTTAGCAACATTGAAAATTTATATAAAATTAACCTTAGTTTATTCATTTTTTTATAATGTTTTTGTTAATAAAATATATTATTTAAAGATTGTCAATGATGGCATTGTCAAAGTTATTATTTTTCAATTTCTATGAAATTTTATACAATCAAAATTAAATAAACTTTTGTTAAATGAAACTAATTGAATCATTTTTATTTTAAATAAACCTTAAAGAAATAGACGTTTTAATTAAAAACTGTGACAACACAAAATAATAAGATATTGATTTCGAAACAACTCAAATTGTTGTTTATTATTCAACATTAAAAATGTATAAATCTAATTCAACATAACTAAGTTATTTTCTAAGGGAAGAAACTTTCAAATTTGAATTTGACATGGTAGGTATGTAATTTTTTTTTATCGTTATACTAAAAAAACTTGTTTTTTGAGTTGTTGTATGTCTGATCTGAGCCGTTGAAATTACTCTAAAAGACTGTTTCTTGTTTTTAAAATGAACTCATTATTATTTTATTTATCTCATTTGAATATTTTCATTATAGCTAAAATATTTCCTTGACATCTTAATCATTTTATGAATATATCCATAAATTTTAATATTTATGTCATTATGAAGAAAATTATTTTAGGAAGTTAAATTTTATTATAAGTAATCAAATTTAAATAGTGATAAAAAGATATAACTCTTTACCGATTAATTTTTATTAAAATACTTAGAAAAATATTCATTTATTTATGTAATGCTAATTATCTTATATGTTATTTAATAAGTGGTTTCATTATTTATAAAAGTTAAATTGAATTCTTATATTTTAATATTTTACTACAATGCTTCCTAAATTTAAATTATTAGATTATTAAGATATTATATCTAAATTTAGAAATATCTAGATATTTATTTAATATTTCTAATCGCGATACTATTTAAATAAATTCAATCAAATATTTAACTATATTGTACATTAAACTTTTTAATGGTTTAGTATTTTATGTTAATATTACTAATAACTCACTACTTATTATGACCATAGCTTTGTTCAGTATGTGAAATGTTTAGTTGGCCTTGTCTACTTAACTCAAACAAAATTTCTTTAAAATGAAAATAATGATAGAAAAAATTGAT